AACCCTTTTTGTTTGAGTTGGGGCAGTGCAGGGAGGGGGTAGGGTGTGGTGTGTGTAGAGTGTGTGTGTGTGTGTGTGTGTGTGTGTGTGTGGTGTATGGAGTGTGTGTATACGGCATGTAGAGTGTTAGGTGTGTGGGGTGTGTGTTTGTATGTGTGTTGGCAGGATAGGGAAGATGGAGTCATATTTAAAAGCAAAATTAGGCAAGTTCCATTGCGAATTCCTTTTTGTCTAATAGCTTAGAGACATCTTCCTGTTGTTGTTTTGTCAGAACTAGTTTAAAAATTTCTGTAAGCTTTAGGGGTTTTTCACAGCTAAGCTTTCTTGAGAAGTGTTCAGTCAGAGAAAGTCAGTTCAAGTTAAAATGTCAAATAAGTTCCTTTAGAAGCAGGGGAAGGAGCTTTTCCAGAAGATCTCTGGGCCGGGCACCTCTTTGTTCTACATATAGATACCTACTAAATATCCTGCTGGGTTAATTCTGAGGCAGAAAACTTGTTTCCTGGAAGCAATTACAGATGCTTAAAATTCAAATTTATGATCCTTGGGAGGAACTGAAGCTTCAACGACTTTTCTTAGATTCAAAGGCTTTCTCACCGCCCTCCTGCCCCTCCCCCCCGCATGTATTAAAAGAGAAAAAGTCCACTCATTTCTCAGCTTGCAAAGTTTTGCAGAAACTCGAGAATGTGTAAGTTGCTTTCAGTGGGAAGCATATAACATTTATGAAGTATTTCTTTGGGGATTACATCACAGTTTTATTTAATTTTTAGGACAAAAGTTAAATTCAATATTTGTGTATAAGCCAAGGGAAAATGTACCATAAACATAGGAATTTAGGGGTGAGTCAGAGTTCCAAGAATTCTAGATTTACTTAGGCCATTTATATGAAGACTAACCATTAGTCATCCAGCCTCGCTTTTTACATTTGCAATTAATTGCACCTAAAAATTAGCTTTTACTCAAGGAGTTAGGTAGATAGGCTCTGTGACTGGCATTTAAAATGCCTGTTACAATTACTGCCTTATTTTTGGAGACCTCCTAACTCACAGCAAACATGGATAAATGATTCTTTAAATAAAGAAGCCTGGAAAGCCAGTAAGCTGAAATTATTTCATGGTATTCTTCTTGTCCTAAAAGCCACACATTGTCTGCTTGTCCAAGGCTAGACTTAGACTGTCCCTGGCATCCCAGTGGGCTTTGCTGAGAATGGATCACTTTCCCAAACCCAGAGTAACATATTCTGTTCATCCCACCTCTTGTAGGATGAGGTCATCGCTGTCTCCGAAAAGGTGATCGTAAAGTTAGAAGACCTGGTCAAATGGGCGCATTCTGATTTCTCCAAGTGGAGGTGTGGGCTCCGAGCCACACCAGTGAAAACGGAGGCTTTTGGAAGAAATGGACAGAAGGAGGCTCTCCTCAGGTACAGGCAGTCAACTCTCAACAGTGGGCTCAACTTCAAAGACGTTCTCAAGGAGAAGGCTGATCTTGGTAAGTATGGCCTCGAAATTCAATGTGTAGGAATGTGCAATGAGCTATAAGCATGCTATAGATTATTCTGGAAACACTATGCATATATTTACACGAAATAACATAATTATATACGTGAGAACTATGTACTATGTAAGAATTATATAACATAATTCTATATTACTGGGCTGAAGAGATGGTTCAGTGTTAGCTAAGAACCATACTCCTCTTTTAGACTATGTCAGTTCATTTTCTAGCACCTGTTCTGGGCAGCTCACACCCCTCTGAAACTTCAGCTTCAGGGGGAACAGATGCCTCTAATCACACTCGCAAGCTCATACACATACACACTTAGAAATAACAAAAATGAATCTTTAAAAATATTATAGGTTGTGTGTAAATTACCTATTAGGGCTTAGAGAGATGTTGAGATAGGAAAATGCTTGCCTTATAAGCATGAGACCTGAGTTTGATCTCCAGGACCCCTATTACAAAGCCAGGCACAATAGTGCATGTGTGTAATCCCAGCACTGGAGAATCAGAGACAGGAAGGTCCCTAGGGCCACCCTACCTAAGCTCATAGATAAGTTCCAGGCCAAGGAATGACCCTGTCTCAAAAAGAAGAAGAAGAAGAAGAAGAAGAAGAAGAAGAAGAAGAAGAAGAAGAAGAAGAAGAAGAAGAAGAAGAAGAAGCCAAGATGGATGAGTTCTGAGGTGCACAAAATAGGATGTTGGCTTGTCTTCTGACCTCCACAGGAAGATACACGCACACACATAGTGAAACACAATGTGTACCTATAAACACACATACACACACACACATGTGCACGTGTGCACAAAGAATTGTATCTCATAAAACTGTACAGCACATAACATAGTATATAAATTTTTAGAAGTTATATATAGGTGTATTACCTATGTGTATAAAATTGCTTTACTCTAATGGGGCCCAAGACTACGAATTGGGAAATGCCTAGAATGAATATGGTCTGTTGCATTATAGGGTCTCCTTTATGTAAAGCCTCATATTGGGTGACACAGCATATGGCTTCAAAGTAACATTTTATGTGCCATCAAGATCTAAGACTTAATTAGGGCTAGTACTGAACTAATGAAGACTAAATATTTGCTGCAGGTGGGTAGTATGGCATCTAGGAATACCAAGTCAGAATTTCAGGTATGAAGCAACATGAGGCAAATTGGTGATTCACTAACGAGCTAGAAACTGCTGGGGTAGATGTTTAGTCTCTCTTCCTTGTCTTCCACAAAGGAGGGTTGGACTTCAGAGAGATTCTTTCTCCAGCTTTGGAGTGTTCTGGCCATATCTGAACATCAGCTCTGCCTCTGGGCTGTGTGGCCTTAGGTAAATATGTTAAGGTGGAACCTTCTGTCCTCCCATTTGAAAGACAGGGACATGAAAGGTCTCACATGATGAAGGAATTCTTCTGCCTCAGCAGCCACTCCTCCCGTGACTATGAGACTATGTCCACTCTTTGTTGTGACTTATTTGTACCCTCAGTGGCCTTCACTGCCCTGCTCTTCTAGTGTTACTCAAGACCAAAGCTACTGACCTCTGTTTTAGACTAGTTATTTCCTCTTTACATAAAGAGGAACTTCACTTTTAACATATTGAAGTCTTTTTCTTTCAGTCTAGCACAATGCTGATTTTCATGGCCCTGGTTTATGCCTTAATGTGACAACTTCCTTGTTTCTTTCTTTCTTTTTTTTTTTTTAACTTGGAACTTAACTTTTACAAGAAACCTTGATGATTTCTTTTAACTGACAGAGAAAGACTGACTAGCACCAGGGAACTGACTCTCTTTCATGTGACTCTGGTTTGTGGTAAGCTGTGCTGTTTGAGCAATATTCTTAAGACCATGCTGCAGTTTAATAGCAACTGTTCCCCAGCAGCTTTTTGATAGATGTCGGATGGTAACATTTTAGACACACAGCCAAATTGCCATGCACACAATTAGAGAAAATTTATTAAGCTAGCATTCTCTCTTCTAAGCCAAGGAATTTAAAAAATTGTCTTTACATATTAACTGCTAACAGCCACAGTCTTATCAACACAGCGTAACTACTTTTATGATGTGTAAGAATGTTGAATAATAATGAACCTACTGTGTTACCGTCTTAGTGTGATCTCAATTGCATCTCCATTGTCTTGTTTTTTTTCCCCTTAACATCAAACTCTTTCCTTGATTTTTTTAAATTTGAATTATAGAATATAGTGTTACTAATAAAACATTAAACAGGAAACCCATGGGGGACAAAAGGCTATGTAGATGGTTAAGCTTGATGTCACACATGTAAACAAGATTATTTATAGCAGAGTTGTTTTCTGTTTCAAAGAGATAGTTTATAGATGAGCACAAAAAGAAGCCCAATTTCTTAACTCTATTTGAAAAGAGTTTGAGAATCTTGGATCCTTAATAAAAAAATAAAAATAAAATAAAAAGAAAAAAGAAAAGGAAAAAACTGTCTATAATCCACCCTACCCCTGCCAGACCCCTCAATTGGTGCCAGCAGAAATGAGTTTGTCTAACTATTTAAAGCATTTGATGGGGGTTTGATCTTGAAAATGTAGACTTGTGGCTTTGGAATAGAATTGCATTTTAGATTTACTAGGAGAATGGTTAATGGTTGCCTTAGAATTATCTGGACTCCTAGAAGATTTGGGGTGTTTGTGTGTGTGTGTGTGAGAGAGAGAGAGAGAGAGAGAGAGAGAGAGAGAGAGAGAGAGAGAGAGAGAGAGAGAGAGAGAGAGAGAGAGAGAGAGAGAGAGAGAGAGATTTGGGACCCATTTCTGAGATTTTGCTTGGGAAAAGAACTTTCAACAGGAAGCTTGATTGACAGGCCTCTGGGGGATGAGAAAGACCACATACCTTTTATTTTTGTACGTGCAAAGTACCCCTTTAAGGACAGAATTTAGGGCCTTGAAATTCTACTGGGCTGGTATGAGCTGTGGGGAATTCGAGACAAATAGCTTTCGTAATTGGAATGCACACTGTGTTGTAATAACGTGCAAAGAGAAACACAAACTTTCCTTAATGTAATGAGTTTCCATTATCTCTGGGATCTGAAATTTGTGAGTCCACATTGTTGGGATTTCAACTGGGGACTTTTAGACCAGGTGTTGTTGGCCATGCACAGTCCTGTACCAGTGACTTTCTCCTCAGCCTCTTCTGTTCTCTGGCTGTTACGTGAAAAGATTTGCTGGCCTTTCTTTCTACCTCAGCGTTCTCTCTCTGTCTCTGTCTCTCTGTGTCTCTGTCTCTCTGTGTCTCTGCCTCTGTGTCTCTGTCTCTGTCTCTCTCTGTCTCTGTCTCTGTCTCTGTCTCTGTCTCTCCCTCTCTCTGCCACACCAAAACCACCTCTAATACCACATCTTTAGTTTGAAGCTCTCCCCTTGCCAGGCCCTTCCTTCTGTAGAGCCTTTCTCTTTGTTCTCATCAAAGAAAACTGAACTTTGAGATTGCTTAAGGACCCTACCCCCTGCTGGCCCGGAAGTGAGCAGAGAACGGAAAACTCACCTTTTTGTGGATAAAGTCAAGCTTTCAGCGTGCTGTTTTTCTTTAAAGCCCAGTTCCCCTAGCCTGTTCAAAACATCAATAATAACGAAAGAATTAGGTTGACCCTTACAGACAGATTTGTACAATGTAAAAACCAGTGAAATGAAAGAACCCCTCTAGCACTCGTTAGTAAGTTCCCTCCCATTCCAGTTTGTGTCATTTCCTGTCTCCCTGTGAACAGCAAAAGAACAAAATAAAACAACACAAATGTGTATCTGGCAACAAATTAATGCTGTACACAGAAAAACATTGCCCAGTGGTAGCTCCTGTAAAAATCACCTCTATTTTTTAAACCTTCCAGAATTTTCATTTAAGACTCTAAATGAGTGCTGGCAACAACTACAGATTCAGATAGTGAAAAAGCTAATCGTTAAAACCATAAACACTTCTGAGATATGTCTGAGATATGATGCAGCACATTTATCGTGCCCCCCCTCCCTGGAAAAGAAAGTTCCACATGAAACCAACAACACCAATTGAGGTTTTCCTGGGGTGGGGGTTACTCTTTCAGCCCATTTCATACTGAATTTCTTTTTTAAGTGAAGAAAAATAGCCATGTAAAAACAGAAGGGTTAAAGAATGTGTTATTCATAAGCATAACGAACACAAAAACCTGTTCTTCCAGAAGAATCAGACTGATTAAATCATTCACTACACAAGCCTCTAGTTATTTATTTTTGTCTTTAGAATTACAGTACTTAGCTTTGTAATAAAGTGGACCTGATACCCATATTTGGTATGGCAGTTAGGAGTAGTCAAATGAAGAATTATTTCATTTTACAAAAATTTTAGCAACTTAGGAGTATAAATACTATCAGTTAAATATAGCAAACTTGCATTTTTTATTCCTTGGGCTATAGTTTGAAAAAAATCAAATTATTTTATATAACACTGTTTCTCACAGAGTTCCTTTAAGTGAGGTATGAAAGCCGCGGTGTAAGCTTTATTGGCCTATAAATATGTCATTATAGTTGGACTACATTTATATGCTTTGGATTGTTGTTTAAGCCAAGAAAATATGTCTCTACAGGTTGATTTTTTATTGAAATCCTTTGAGGCATACAGCAAAATGTGTTTTAGGCCAAGGTTATTAAAACAGCACGTCCCCCCTCGTCCCCTCCCCCAGCTTTTTCAACAGACTCAGTGTCAATTACCATACCACTATCTGTCTGCGGATGGGCAGTTATGAATGGTCTCATCTCTAAGTACATCTTTAGAAGAAAAATATTAAAAAGAGAGGTGGTTGAACAAGAGAGAGAGACAGACAGAGAGAGAGAGAGAGAGACTCTCTGTGTGTGTGTGTGTGTGTGTGTGTTTAAGACCTGCCTGAATGTAATGTTAGCTAAGTGTCTGGTTCTACATCTTTTCAAACAGAGAGTGGGCACCTACCTTTCTCTACTAGCATTGGCTTCCTCTGCACTTTGCATAGTAGGTGGACCACAAGAAGGATGTTGCCTCTCCCCATAGATTTCTTGCTCACTGGAGAACACCTGAAGTCACCATATGCACATGCCTTTGAGTTCTTTGTTTATAAAATGAATGATAACATACAGCCTCCTTTATGATGTTGGGTTTTGGAGGCTACCAACTGAGGATAGTCTAGTTGGGATCTTCAGGAGCATTTGTGACATTTTTTTTTTTTTGGTTTTTCGAGACAGGGTTTCTCTTTGGCTTTGGGGGCTGTCCTGGAACTAGCTCTTGTAGACCAGGCTGGCCTCAAACTCACAGAGATCCGCCTGCCTCTGCCTTCCAAGTGCTGGGATTAAAGGCGTGCGCCACCAACGCCCGGCGCATTTGTGACATGTAAGTCTAGGTTATTTGCATTATACTAGCATAATCAGGTAGAAGTTGTGTGTGGTCAGGGACTGTGTGGTACCATGTTAGTGCCCTGGTTTGTTCCTGATGTCCCTAATCACAGTTTCTCTGGACTCAGAGCAGCGCTTCCCTCCGCAATGCTTCACCCAATAGAAGATTCACTAAAGTCTTCATATATATAAATATTTAATAGATAATCTTTATATATAAATATATGTAATACAATGTTCCTGCTTGTCTTTTAATCTAGTCACAAACCTATCCATGTAATTACTATATATGGTTAATAAATGTGTTATTCACATGTTTAAACTGATATTCACAGTAATATATAATTCATAATTGAGATATGTTGTACACATATGTTATCATTCATATTGTAAATTACACAATTTTTTTCTCCTGAAAATTCTATTAAAACAAGCTGAGCCATACATGGCCAATAATACAAGGAACCCCTCGAATTCTTAGTTAAAAGTTGACTAGAGTTGCTGCTTAGAAATTCCTAAGCCTGGTATTGCAAATGGTTATTTGTAGTCACTTCTGAGTGTGGAGTGTCATGTGGCTTTCCTGAAGTATCCAGGGCAAAGACTTGCTACTCTTTGCTGTAAAGAAAGAGCATGGAGATTTCTCATTAGAAACAGGTTACAAGCACGAGCTAATCAAATCACCAGGATTGGACACTTCTCATTAAGAAAACCCTCCCTTCCTCCCCGCCCCCATTCTTTCTTCTTCCATCTTTCCATATAGTAAGAGGTCTTCTGAAAATGCTTGCAGAATGTATTATAATCATAGGTGCTTAGCTGAACCAATTCCAACTGAAACTTGAGAAATTTCTTAGATGATATATGTTTGCAATATTCTATTTGTGAATAATTTGGAGAAGCTCCTACAGAACCACTCAAAAGGCTTTGGCCTGTGCACTATCCTTACTTTCAAACTAGAATGATCCTTCTGAGGGATGTTCTTCTGAGGTCCTCTGATAGTTCCTGTGTTCACTTGATTCTTTCAGAATCTTATCATAGTACTTCTGATCCCAGAGAAGCATGCTGTTCCAGTATCAGCATGGCTCCTCCAGAAGTTGCTTTTGACACTGTAAAGTGATAACCCAGAAATCCTTTAGGCTAAGGCAGGAAGGTCATGAGTTCAAACCCAGCCTGGACTTGGAGTCAATTCAAGGGCAGGCTGAGTTACGTACTGTATAAGGTGATTCTGTCTCCAGAAAGAAAAAGAAAGGGCTGGCAAGATGGCTCTGCAGGAAGTGGGGCTTGCTGCCAAGCCTGATAAACTGAGTTCAATGCCTGGATCATGGTGGAAGAAGAGAACCAACTCCCACAAATTGTCTTCTAGTCACACATTCAATAAGTAAGTATGTGTGTTTTTTAATGAGTATATTCAAACATCCATAAATCTATAACTAAGACATCCAGAGTGTCAGAATAGTATCTAAGAATCAGAACCCACAAGATAGCACCTCAAAAGGAAAAGAGATTACTTATTTTATTTGAAAGCAAAAAATTTGACTTGACTAGCTCATTAAATAATGGAAATTATCCTAAAATCATGATGGAATGGACCAGTAAAAAGCTTCCCAATAAGAAATATTCATCTATGTTTCCTGGACCCAGCTATTGCTCTTGGGAAGAAGTCTTTGCCAAGTTTCATAATGTCTGAGTTGATTGACAGGCATTGGTTGACACTGATTCCATACACACTGCCATCCCACAGAGAGCACATTCCTATCCAAGACCCTTTCATTTGAAATTCCCATAGATCTGAGAAGCATCCAAATGTTCTACGTTGATACATCCTCTGAAGATGGACAGTTAGTTAACTAGAGAGAAAGAACCTGGCTTTAGAACTCGAAAGGATGTGTTTAGTACAGATTTTTTTCTTTTGTTTTTTGTTTTGTTTTTATTTGTTTTGAGTTCTTTGTAAGATTGTCAGGGTAGAAGGGACCTTAGTGGACATTATTCCAGTTAAATTTTCTTCCCTGCTGCTCTGTGACAGTCTTTAGTTCTGTCTTTATTTAGCTAAACAACCTCAATGTTTTCAACTCTTTCCCCGGATGTGGTTTTCAAGCTCCCTCACCATCCTGGTTATTCATCTTAGGATATATCCTGAGTGTTTGTATTACAGTGGTTTATTCATTTATATTGTGAGGTACTGTTTTGCTAAGAACCCTACAGCTCAGAGTCAAAGTGGCTTTCAGGAGCATAGAGACCACTGTACAGTCATCCCATAGAGCCAGATTTCCAACAGCTGCCTATGCCCTGGCGCCTCTAGATATGACGTAACCCCAGTGAGGCTTAGACTCTTCCATGGTTCTTCACAGTCTTGGCTTTCTATACCCCTGGGAAAAGAAGGAATGTTATTTTGCCACCACCCCCTCCTCAAGTTTACTTTTCTGTTTTTGATTTGAGTCCCTCCTATGTAATACCAAGTTCGGGCTATTACTTAATGAACATCATTATTTATAAATCATGAATATGCCTTTTGTGAAACATTGCTAGTTAGGCTGTGACTTTCCATGGCCAGAATCCCTATGATGGCACACCACAGCATGTGAGGTGTAACCTGTACATACTGGGTTTTCTCTCAATAAGTATCCATATGTGAAGGCCAGCCTAATACCTGGTTTCCTTCATCTACTCTAACAAACCCAGTGAAGTCTAGTGAGACCTCTCCAACTTACCAAGTGTGGCAGTTTAGTTTACACTGCCCTCCTGAACTTCTGATGTGGTCGTCTTTGTGCTTAGTTTTTCCATCTTGTTGGTGTTTCAGGGTTTTTTCCCCCCACTGGTACCCTTTCATGCATTAAATTATTGATGGTCAGTTTTACAATAAGTTCATGATAAGGGAGGAAACCAGCTCATACTTTTGTTCTGGCTTCCTTGGTGAGATATGCTAATTTCACAACAACAGCGGTGAGATTGCCATCTGATGGGAAGATAATGGAAGATGAAAAATGATTCGTTGAAGTCCCATCTCGTGAATTCCTTTGCCTCTTCTACAAACTTTGAGTCTGTTGGGGAAATCTCTTGACCTCACAGAGGCTATTACAGTTCCAGGAGCATAGACAAACCTCCAAACTAGAAACACTGACTTCAAGTTGCCTTTTAGTTACTTTCTTGTCTTAGGGCAAAATGTAAGAGAAGAACGATTTGACTCATGTTTTCAGAGGGCTAGTTAGGTCCATCCTCAGTGTA